GCTTACAGGGTAAATTGAAGAAACTACCGGATTTCGGTAGGGGCTCACTCCATCCGTGAAGCTTGGAAGCCATCGAGATTCCTCATCGGTGGGCACATGGTCTATGATCCTGTGGTCTGATGTACAACTCGATGCTGATCCTTTCTTGCCGTACCAAGCCCTTGATGGTTCGTCCGGTTGTAACCTATACAAGTAACAAATGGGAGCGATATCGCTCACAACCGCTCAGGAAGCCATTGACGCTTCCGCTGCAAGTGGTCGAACCCTGGATCTGAACGAGTTCATGGCACACGTGAGCTAGGACCACACAGGCAGAAGGGAACCGGGGCGCTATCTCAAATTCTTCTATTCTTTCTAATGCGGTTTTTGGCTCAAGGGTTCTTGTTTCAGTGAAGGCCAGAAGTGACGGGCGAGACTAAGCTACCGTTTCTTATGGAGTACGCCCCAGAGCGCGCGTTCTGCCGATGTTCCACCTTTACGGAACTGATGGCAAGTCTGTCAGGCAAAATACCCGACGTCCTTCCGGCCGTGACTTCTTTACTGGCTGACAAACAAGGATGGAGAACTTGGCTTCATGTTATCACAACACACCTCCGCTTTCACCGTGCAGAAGGTCTACTCGACGTGTCACTTTCATGCTTGAAACCGGGAGATGAAGCCGGGAGAAAACCACTTTGATACGTGGGAGAGATGGTCAGTGCTGGTGGGAGGAGGTAGCTTAAAGCACGATATCACGTCAATTCACGGAGAAATATCGGCCTGTTGTCACACCTCGAGTACGCAGAGAATAGGCAGGACGTGGTCCTGGAAAGGATGAGATCGATTCTGACTCGTTTGTCCCCCCCCCCCCAATCCATTCTTTGGGCCGCATTGTCAATGTCTCCGTACATCTGGTCTCCTTTCCTTGCTCTTCCACGACGGAAGATTTCTAATTCCTATAATACGGAATTTCGGTATGGATGCGATGGCATGACTACTACGCTCACTGTGAATCCGATACCGACACCCTCCAGTACAGCAATGAAATAATCCGACATCCGCCACTAATTCCATACCAGTCGCTGCTCAAATTGGGGCAGACGTTGGGAAACGATGAGGTTGGGGTTCTTGAAGCCTGATTTAGAGGAATATACGAAGACGACTTTGCCTGAATTATGAATTACAGAATTTCAGAAAGGAGGAGGGTCATGCGAAGCTGGCTGTTGTGAAGCCTCCCCAACAAGACTATAGAAACTTTTTCTCCTAATCAACAGGGCTCGTTGCTCTCTCTCTCTCTCTCTCTCTCTCTCTCTAGTCAATCATATTGTTTTTTTGTTCTTTCCTGGAGGGATTGGACTGATAATACAGCTGGGAGTCAAATTGGAAGCCGGCTAGGAATTGTAGATAGAGCCCTCTCGTAATTCTCATCTATCGTGGGATCGTGCCGAGCTTTGACATAGCTGAAGTAGAACAATGCCTACGTTGATCTGCCATTGCCTAACAGCAGAGAGATGCACACTGTACACTGAGTAGAGACTCTGCAGTATATATACAAATCTTCAAGACCTTAACCTAAGCCTCACCTAGTGCATAAAAAGGAAATAAAACAGACTACCACAAAAACGACCCCTGCGCAACCCCCTCATCCACCATCCACCCGCCCAACCCCTCCAAATCCAACCCGAACATAGCATCAGACGTCTACCAACCAACGAATCAGTAACCAGAAACCAACCCCTTCTCCCTCAAAAGAAACACAAGGGCACAGCGGAGGGTAAAGCGAAAACTCACCAAAAGATCCAAGTCCCAATCCCCCATCGACCGCGCCCCCTCCCCCTCCCCCACCCCCACTCTCCCAGCCTCAGATTCCCCAACAACCAAATGCCCCGTGTCCTCCCCCCGCGTATTCCCTCCAGCACCACCACCACCACCCCCCTCAAGCGAGCGAGAATCCCCCCCAAGAACCTCCCCCAAAACGCCCAACGCCTCCTCCACCGCCCGCTCCGCCGCGTGCACCAACCACCCCCCCAGCTCCGCATCTGGCACGCGCCGCAGCACCGCCTCGACCTGCGCCTCGACCAGCGCCTGCAGCAGGTATCCCTTCATGTTGGTCTCGCCGCTGCGCAGACCCCGGCGGAGCCAGGGCTTGGCCTCGCGGGTGATGGTCAGGAGGTCGTGGCGGATGGGTTGGTGGGGGTAGCCATGCGACAATGGCCCGGCGGCAGCGGCGAAGGACGCAGGAGCGGCGGAGCAGGCCTCGCGCAGCTGGGCGCGCAGCTCGAAGGCGGCGAGGTTGTAGGCTTGCATTGTGGTTTGCGTGTAGGGGCTGGAGGTGTTGGTTATGTATCTTGATAGGAGTTCGGAGTCGAGGTTGGGGGTATGGGTATGGGTATGAGCATGGGTTAAAGAGGGGGAAGGGGAAGGGGTGGTGGCTGTGACGGGGTGGATGATGGCTGATGAGGGCCAGGCGGTGCACCAGACGCGGAGGGCGGTTTCGGTGAGGACTTTGCGGGTGTAGGCGTAGGTTTTTGGGTCGTGGAGGGCCGGGATGAAGTAGGGGATGTGGAGGGCGATGAAGTGGTGGTTGATTTGGAAGTCGAGGAGATGCAGGGTGAACGGGGAGGGGGTGCGGGTCAGGGGTAGGGGTTTGTTGGCGGTGAGGGTGTGGAGGGTGTGGCACGTTTCTTGGTACGCCGTGCGCAGGTCCGCGTCGAGTCGGAGGGTGTCCTCGTAGGTGAGCTTCGTGCTGAGGTTGTTGAGGGCTTGCGTGATGGCTAGGCGCGCGGGGAAGGTCTTGCGGTACGCGATGGCGATGGAGGTCTGCGTGAATGTGTTGTCGGGCTGTGGGGGTGGGGGGTTGTCGGTGTCGGTGTCGTTGCTGGCTGTAGTGGTGGTGTTGGTGAGCTGGTCGTCGTCGTAGTTGCTGGGAGGCAGGGTGTCGAAGTCCTCCACGGAGAGGAGCGGCGGCCCGCCGGAGAGCATGCTCGACGCGACGGAGAGTTCGAGGACGGTGTTCCAGAGCCGGCGGCGCATCTCGGAGGCGAATAGGGTGCGCTTGGGGAGGTGGTTCGGGTCGCGGTGCAGGCCGATGTGCATCGCCATGCGCAGGAGTGAGCCCGCCGGGATCCAGGTCAGGGTGCCGCCGATGCCTGTGGCTTCGCGCGCCAGAAGAACGAGGAGGTTGAGCTGGAGGAACTGCATGCTGAGGTGGGCTTTGTACTCTGGCTTCGCGAGCCAGGTCAGCGCCTCGTAGACCCAGGCCATCGCCGACGGACGGAGCGTGAAGTGTTCGTCGTAGGTGGCCGCTCCGATGGCAAGGACCAGCTTGAGCTGGATCACGAACGCAGGGTCCGGCGTGCTCTGGGCTGCCCAGAGAGCATCGTAGTCGCGACGGAAGGTAGGAATGTGCAGGATGCGGTGGATGGCTTCGCTGGTGCGCAGGTAGCAGTCCACCAGCTGGTCAGCAACTTCTCTCCGGGGCAGTGGAGTGGCGGTCACTACAGGCCAGGAAGGTGTGCGTCTATCCTTGATGATCTTGCCGATGGCTTTACATTTCTGGACCTTGGTGAACGCCTGACTACCTTGGTCTCGCGCATGGGTTTCCAGGATTTGGAAGAGGCTCCAGAACTAGAATAGCATTAGGCAGAGGTCTAGATGAAATGAACGGGGCCACCTACCTCCGTCGCCATGCCGTTGATCCAGAAGCTCTGGCCGAATAGCCGCGACTTGTGCATGATACTACGAGTGATAGCTACGGCCGAGCTAGCAGCGTCTTTTTCATGCTGCAAATGGAACAGCCCAGTCATCGTGGAGCCTGCGGTTACGACCTCCGGGATTGGAGCCACTGGAGGCGGCTGGACCGCAGGCTTGGCTACGGTCTCAGCCAGTCGCTGTTCCAGCTGTCGGACCCTGTCTTTGAGGGCCTCCACATTCGGGTCCGACTGGGGACTGGCGACAGTCGAGGCTTTGGTTGAGGCGGTGGTATGTGCAGCGGAGTGGAGACTGGGCACAGAGGATTCCGTGCGGCTGGTGTGTGGTATCCCACCATTGGGGATTGTATATGGGGCTGTGTGACCGGTATGCGATGCACTCTCAGTGGGTATCGCATACGGGGCTGGTCTGGTGGGCGTGACGCCAAACGCCGGCTGCGAAGGCCGAGAAACGTCGGAATTATCATACTCGCAGGTAGCCTGATTCCCGGAGCGAGTACAGTGGCTACATGGCGCTTGACGATCACATTTGATCTTGCGGCGTCTGCACAGAGAGCACGAGCTGATGTGTTTGGATTGTCAGCGCGGGGTTAGGGAGACGAGGGGAATTCTCCGAGGGTAGCCTACACCGCTGGTCTTCGGCGTCGGCGGGCGGGTCCTATCATGCTGATCATCCGGAGGATCTAGATAAGAAGGGAGAGCTGTTGAGAGACAAGTGAAATGACAGATGTCCAAGAAAACAATGAAGGTGGTGGTTACAGCGGTGCACGGAGCTGTCAGAGTCATGCAGCGGGGATTGACACTCGGAGACAGCCAAATCCCCCAATCGCCGTCGGCGGAGATAGCGGGTCATGTGATCGTGTATGGCAAGGACGATAATGTGCGGCCCCAACAGCGATGTTTAACTTGTAGAACGTGGAATTTCTCTATCTCTACAACTGTGGGCTTTGATAAAAGTGCTTAATCACGTCTAGTCCCCTGTCAAGGACCCGATTCAGCGCTTAAGCTGGGTAGCTGCTGTAAAGGCCGACGACAAGCAATATATGCCATGGTGCTGCTCTTGCGCTGTGGGTTCAAGTGGACGCCCATTCTCCGACCGACAACCGAGTCCGCCCCGTCAGCCCTACGAGTATCTCCGCGCAAACTGGAAGCAAATTGTACTGTCCAAGTCATATATAAGGTAGTGAGAGCCATGGTATTGTCTTACCTGATGCGTCACACTACAAGACCTAAGATCAGCCTTTGTTCACTTAACACAATTGTGCCACTCGAGTTCGCATCATGGGTCACACCGAATCCGCTGCAGCTTCTATGTCGGATGTGGAGAAAGCCGCGCCCACACCTGCGGAGCACGAGGCAGCCCCCGACGGCGGGAGCCAGGCCTGGCTCGTTGCGGCCGGAGGCGCGTGCATCATGTTCTCCTGTCTGGGGTTTGCGAACTCGTTTGGCGTGTTCCAAGAATACTACGAGGCCAATCAGCTGCGCGTTGAGTCGTCCAGCAAGATCTCCTGGATCGGGTCGCTATGTACATTCCTACAGTTCGCAGCCGGTGGACTAGGGGGTCCATTGTTCGATCGCTATGGCACGTGGGTGAGTGCTCTCCGATGCCCATTCCATTGGAAGTGCCCATCAACTCACTTGAAATATAGGTCATCCGTCCGGCGGCAGTCGTCTACATCTTCGCCATGATGATGACCAGTCTCTGCTCGGAATACTGGCAGTTCATGCTGGCGCAGGGCGTCCTTCTCGGCACGGCAATGGCCTTCCTCCAGCTGCCGGCTTTCGCCGCCGTGTCACAGTACTTTGACAAGAAGAAAGCCGCGGCCCTCGGGCTGATCGTGTCCGGCTCATCGATTGGGGGCGTGGTCTTCCCGATTGCGCTGTCCAAGATGCTGAACAGCTCGTCGCTCGGGTTTGGTTGGTCGGTGCGAGTGATGGGGTTCGTGGTCATACCCCTGATGGCGTTCGCGTGTACAGTGGTCAAGCCTCGCCTGCCCCCGCGCACGACCTCATTCTTCATCCCGGAGGCCTTCACGCAAGCCCGGTTCGATCTCATCATCGCCGCCTTCTTCTTCATGTTCATTGGGCTGTTCACCCCGCTGTTCTATCTCCCCACCTATGCAGTGACCCGGGGCATGGACGCCACGCTGGCCTCGTACTTACTGGCGATTCTCAACGCCGCGTCCACGTTCGGACGCATCATCCCCGGGATTCTCGCGGATAAATACGGGCGGTTGAACATGTTCGCCCTGGGAGGGATCGCCACGGGGGTGATCGGCCTCTGTATGACCAAGGCGGAATCCACGGCCGGGTTGGTGGTATACGCGGTGTTTATCGGGTTCGTATCGGGTACCATCGTCTCGGGAGCAAGCGCGGCATTCACACTCTGCATGAAGGACGCCCGGGAAAGCGGGACGTATATGGGAATGGGCATCGCTACCAGCTCCGTCGCCGCCTTGATCGGGCCCCCCGTGATTGGAGCACTGTTCGATCATTACGGAGGGTTCCTGCAGGCGTCCATTTTCAGCGGCGTTCTGTCTTTGGTGGGCGGCTGCATTGCCTTTGCTGCGAAGGCTACCACACCAGTGGGTCTGCTGGGACGAGTATAGCTCTCCTGGAGTGCAGATTTTGGATAGGTTTGCGTGTTGTGATGTGTTTGGCAGTCGTGACACAAGGGATGGAGCTGGCTTCATACATTGATTCGGGCGGCTTGCTGGTATTGAGTGAGGCTGACTTGTGGCACGTCCTGGTGTACTTTTAGATATCTATAATCCCAGATCATTTTCAATTCTGCTTCTCGTGCATTTTTGCCCTTAATCCACGCCATTTGCGACTTAAGAAAAAGGTGACCATTCAATGGGCGAGGTGCATCGCTAGGGCCCGAAAAATGCCGAGCTGCGTTTTCGTGATGCGGCCGACGCTCGATGGCGTGAAAGATCGGTAAGATTGTACCACTCGCGCAGGTATGACGAGTCTGTCTTGGATGTCTGGAGGACAACCTCGCCTAATCGCCTAAAATGGTGGTGCCATGTTGGGGTGACTCAAGTGAGGCGTGTCACAGACGATCGGGAACGAAGCGAATCTGCTTCTCCGAACCGAGGATGGTGAGAGGGCCGTGACCCACGAGAATGGGACCATATTGAGGTACCTACCGGTAATCGACAGCGGAGGTTCCATTGTCGCAGATCGTCGCCCCCCTATGATGGATGGACCCGTGACTGCCCCAATAGCCCAGTGGGGGCGCGTCTGGGCGGCTCCCGTAGCCGAAGGGGGGTTCGTTCTTGGCAATGTTTCCAAAGGGGAAATACAATGCAGCGTCCGTCCATGGTCATTCCACTGCCTATCCATTCTGGATTGCTATGTATGATCCCCAATTGGTAACGTTCTGGAAAGAATGATTTGAGCTGCGACTGACATGATGTTGAGGCTGAAGTAATCCCTCGCTTTCAATCGCAAGTCTAGGCATCCGTCCACGCCGACAGAGTAATCTCGATAGAAGAATAACGAAAGAAGCCGTGAGTGAATCAACGCTTGAGTCCCGCACCGGTAGAAAGGGTTCAAGGTTATGCCCAGGTGCAACTGCAAGGGACGAGCCAAGACTGGGCCAAGAAACAGGGTGGTTGGTCAGGGGATCCAAGGGCGGAACTATTTCAGAACGGAGTGGAATAGTGCAGTCGAAGAGTGAACCAGATGCTGTAAGGCTGTATAGGTCGGCTTGGCTTGTTGATCGTCCTCCAGGCTCAAAATTGAGAACACTCTTCGGTTAGCATGGAGTGCGGATGCGATTCCGAACCCGTGCAGCAGTCGAAGTAGACGAGCTGGAGCCAAGCATCTGGGATGCATGGAAGCATAGTCCAGCTTGGTTTGATCGAAACTAAACCCAAGTCGGTAGCGGTTCCTCTGAAACCCGCTCCAAGAATCCAGGGATGTGAGCTGATTTGGGACCAGACCTTAGTGTGAAGTGCCAGAATTCATTGTTCATTGAGTTGGGGAGCCGAAGGGGGGGATATTGAGGGGGTGAGTGCCAGTGCTCCCCGCGTGATCACGAGACCTCCGCCCCCAAGGTTCTTGTTAGGTAAGGAATACCTCATCTGCGAGAGGGGTTGAGGGGGGATTCTGGGGTAGGACAAACCCAGTTCCCTAGTTCCTACATGGCCAAACTCGAATCAACTTGAGTTTCCCTGGGTTGTGGAACATGATCAAACATGATATTTATTCCCCGCGTTGCTACCGAGTGTCTAGACCACTAGTCATAATAGTTGAGTACTATGTCAGACTAACTAAATAATAAGCCCAGCTAGACCGTGCCACTAGTTGAATTAGTCGGTCGGTCGGCGGAGGAGTGCCGGACCGCCCGTTTGGGCCGGGTCACGGGGCTGCAGGAAGGCGGTTTTTCATTATGTCATAGAATGCAGCCAAACCCCGGTGGATGGCGCCATGACAAGTCATCAAATCACTGCATTCCATATTCTAATGGAAATTGATGCGATACGATCACCTGCGCATTGCGATGTCCATCAATGGCCAGGATCGCGTTCGCGTATCCTGAGGTACTGTATGTACACTGTGTACACACTGTGTACAATCCATGAACTTGATAACCTGATCATCCTTTCCCCTCCCCTCCCGGAAGCGGCAAGTAGCTGAGTCAGCTTTCGTGAGGAAACGAAGGATTAGTGACAACCGACTAAATTACTCAATTAAAATAAACCCTCCCCCCCCCTAGTCGCGATCGATCCACGTCCCTACGGATGTCAGCGAATGAACAAGGCGAGAGCGAAAACCGGGAAGAAGATCCGTAAGCCTGGGAGATGCAGGATGATGCAGTGAGGTTGCACATCTGATTCATGATGATGGTGGTCCTGGTGGGCCAGTGGATGGTACCTTTTGATCTCCTCTTCCGGAGTGGGTATGGTACATGAACAGAGACATACTCAATACTTGCAGCATTTAGTCTAACAGGTAGTTCTCGTGTATTTGAGTATTTGGTACTCGGTACTTTGTGAACATCAAACATCATCTGGACGACCGTTCTTTGTTCCTCTTGGATGGATGGAACCTTAAAAGCCCTCCGCTGTCCGATCCACGCTGATTTGCTTCTTTCCGGCTCCACTCACCACTGCTTGTCATTCTGCGCCAGAACCTTTTTTTTTTTTTTTTTCCTTTTTTTTCCTTTTTTTTCCTTCTTTGGATGGGTTTTCTTCGGGTCCTTTACAATTTGCCTTACTTAATAGAAACTTGACGTCGGTGTCTTGCCGCCTCATTACTTTTTTCTTCCCTTTCCTTTCTTCTTTCCTTCTATTCTACGAGTCAATTATTTGCCATCTTCTCCAATCCACCACCCGTCCCACACCAACACTCTTGACTTCTGTCAACCGAAGCAAACTCCTCTATTTGTTGTTTGTGAAGAACAAACTGTACATTCGTTGATACTCTATTTCCGCGCTGCGCTGTCGTCAGAGGGGATCGGCGATTTCATCAGCAGCTCTCCACTCGAGTGCATGATCCCAGTCCACTGCAATCTGTGACTAACAGTTTTCCGTTTACTCCGTCCGTCGACTTCAAACCACACAAACCACCTCCAACACTGTTGATTGCGTCTCCGCTCGCCCCTCTTAGTGCACTCTGCTGTCCAGGGGGGTTTGCTGGAATCCGGGGAAAGTGAGAGAAAAGGCCAAGGGAATTTAGAAAAAGGAAAAAAAGCTTTTCCTTTCCTCTGTTTCCTTCCCTTCTCTTTCCTCCGTCTTCCCTTTCCATCCCGCCGCCTCACCATTTCTACTCATTTGCTCAACTAACACAGCCGGCACACACCACCACACCACACCACACACCACACAGAACACTCTTACCCCTCTTCTTCCTTCATTTACTCATTCGCGGCGTCCTCATTCGTTTGGGACTGGCCCTACTTCCATATAGAGCCTTTCCCCGTCCACAGTAATATCCGCCCATCATGTCTTCCGCCACCGTCCCAACCGCGATCGCGATTCCGAAGCAGACCTTCGTGAGATACACTTCCTCCGGAAACGCGTCGCCTTCCAACGGATCGCGCAGCACTTCTCCTCATTCTCCCTCGTGCTCGTCGTCGGCGGAACATTCGCGGTCTAGCAGCCGTCGCCGGGAGTCCTTTGGCTCTATCAAAGAAGACGTCGACGGTAGGTCTTCCCGGGTCGCGTGAGGCAGTTGAACCTCGACTAATACATCATAGGCATTGCGCAATCGTTCGTCGATACCCACATTGAACACTCCCCTCAGGAGACCGCTAAGCCTAACCCCTTAGAGATGCAGCCGACTCCCGACTTCTGCTGCCCCTGTGGTGGCTTTCTGGGATGGAAGCAGATCCGTTTGGGAGGCAAGAGCTTGAGTCGCAGCTACAGCGATCTTCGAGGGCTGAACCAACTGCACTCCCGCTGGGCCTGGGAGTCGACTTCCCCCGTGGCCGAACCCCCGAGTCAGACCCTGCAGGTTCCGGAAGAGAAGCAGGTTGTCGTGGAGGAAGAGCAGCCTAAGCCGGTCCCGGGAACCTCGCGCTTGGAGAAGGTCCCACCGGAGGTGCTTGGTAAGAGACTCCCCTCTCGTCTTAAACATGTAAACGTGCTAACAAGGACGACAGACCAGATCATCTCCCTCTTGGCGCTTGATGTACCCCCCAACGGATATACTCCCCGCAATGTGGATCTGATCTCATGCCTTCTGACCTCCAAGACTTTGCATGCGGCTACGCTTAGTGTGTTGTACAGAAACATGACTTTTCCCCACTCCATAATCTTCTCCAAGGCATTGAACCACATCTCCCTCTATCCGGCATTGGGCACTTTGGTGCGTCGTCTCGACTTCTCTCACTTTACTTCGGTGGGCTTGGGACGGACCAAGCAGATGAACTCGGAGATCCAGAACCTTACCTCCAAGACCCTGCTACAGTGCTTGGAATTGTTGCCCAACCTGCGCGAATGCTTGCTTCAGGAGCACGTGGAGGGGGATCTCAGCATGGAAGTTATCCGGAAGCTGTTTACGGGCCTTCCCAACCTGTCCGCTGTGGATTTCTGCGGCTGTTCTACCCAGTCTTTCTCTGGCCTCTTCCTTGAGGCGTTGACCTCGGGTCCTGGTCTCCCGGCTGCATTGCCTAACTTGCGACGGGTTTCGTTGCACGAATGCAGCAGCTTACCGTCGGTGGCGTTTGAGATTCTCCTCCCTCGCTTGGTCAACGTGACTCACTTGGATCTCACCCACACTCAGGTCGGCGAGGATGCGCTTTTCTCGATCCCTAAGACCGCCCAGATCACCCACCTCAGCCTGTCCCGGTGCAGTCGCCTGCGTGGTCCCAAGGTGGTGGAGTTCCTAACCACTCATCCTGCTGTCTGTGGCTCGCTGGTGTTCTTGAACCTTTTGACCGATCCTACGCGCTCCCGTCTCTTGGAGGAGGAAGACGTTTCGGCTCTTCTCCCACACTTGCCTTCCTCCCTCTGCTCCCTCAATTTGGGCGGTGCGAAGGTCACCCCCGCTCACACCAAAGCTCTGATCCCCCTGACTAAGCACTTGGAGGAGCTGGGGCTGAGCTCCTGTGAGCTGTCGGGTCAGGATCTGAACCAGTTTTTCGTTCCACCTCGGGCTGCCACTGGTGTTGAGAGTGCGCCTGCCACTCCCATCGACAGCCTTCCGCCCACCCCCCTTGAAGCCGTGCCACCACCTCTTGTTGAGGAATGGGTCCCGCATACCCTTCGTTACCTGGATCTCAACAAGGCGCCCCAATTGACGATTGGAACCGTGTTCAACCCGAATGCTTGTGTCATCCTCTCGCAGCAGACCTATCCTCTGCAGGTCATCGAATTCAGTGACAAGCTGATTGCTCCTCTACGGGAGAGAGCTCGAAATGCCAAAACGTCGCCCGGCTGGACTGTCCGTGAGCTGGGCCGTCGTGGCTGGTATGTTCGCGACCCTGCCTCTATGCCGAACTACGCTCTGGACGACGGTTCGCGCGACTGGAAGATGGGTGCCAGATGGTGGGGCATGAGGAAGATCCCTGTCGCCGTCGGAGAAGTCGGTGGCATCTACGGACACTACATGTTCAAGAAATAATTTTTCTGATTTCAAGACTGTGTGGAACTCTCGACTCTTTGTCATGATCAGTTTTATACCCTGTTGAATGCTCGCATGGCGCATCTTTCGGATGATGATTTGACTTGATGATTTTGCAAGAGCGCCAAAAGTGTGGACAGTTTTATTGACGTGTTATCATTATCTCCATTTGCATAGCGAGTGCGATTCCTCAGCGTTAGGTATGTCTTGACGGTCTGATTACGGCTTGCGCTTATGATTGATATCCTGGTTGTTGCCTTTTTTTTATGGGATTTATTGTGTATGCTAGTCAGGCGATTTGGAGCATAGCGGTCAAGTTCGGCTTGGAGTTAGGCTTGATTCAAGTTCAATTTTTTTAATGTATCATTTTTGCCCCAAGATTCTTCTCCAATTCTCAATTCTCTCAAGTAACAGTACCAACAAAGCCGCTGTCGCTACGGGTTACCTTGACAAACGGGAAATCCTCGGGCTGACCGAAAGCAGAACCCACCATCGGGAGAAACCGGAACCTGGCCGGAGCAGTCTTGCCCAATTCATCTGACCGGTAGCACAAATGCCAACACCCCTCTCTACCTTCAGAGAAACAAAATGTAACTGTCCCGGGCAGGGCAGTTTTTCTTCCAGGTTTTGGCCCGTCTGGATGTTTTCCAAAGTTATATTCTGCCGAATCTCACTCCTGAACGTTTAGCCGTGCACCTGCCATACTGGGGAATTTAGGGGTAACCTTATTCCCAAAAATAACTTTTTTTTTTCTGGACGGCGTGCCACATGGGATGATCGCATTGGATCTTGTGGGGGTGCAACCCGTGCAACGGTGCAAGAAAATTTATCTCCTGGTCGGGGTTATGGGTGGGGCCGCAGGGGCGGGGATTCGGTGATTGTCTTCAGGGATGGTTATTGGGCGGTAATTTAGGACATGGCTCTATATCAACTTTACTGTTCTTGCTCCCAATCTTTGATTTATAAGCTATACTCCGCTTCAATTCTTATCCATGTTTATTTTTTGTTTATAGCTTTTGAAACTATATTATATCTATGATTTTGTCGATAGCTTAACCCACAGCTAAAATACAATCCGAGAATTGTTATTGAGAAGAAGTTTTCTCCAAAGTTTAGTATTCTTACGAGTTTACATTTCGATATCATGTAGCGTTCCCCCCTCATACGCCTAAGCCTCCTGCAAATCCACCTCGATCCTATCCGCGACGAGGAAGCCCTTGTGCCGGATCTTGCCGATCGTGCCTAGCACCCTATCCCGGGCGTGGTTCCCGGACGCATGGGCTCCGGCCATCCGCACCGGGAAGAGCAGGAGCACCGCGGGGAGGTCCGTATCCGCGAGAAGCGGCCCGGACAGATCCAGGATCTCCCTCCCCCTGGGGTCTGGCTGCGGCAGGAACAGCTGGTCTGCGGCTGGAGCAAGGGTGGCCTTGTCGCCGTAGAGGATGGCTCTGTGGCTCTCGAGGGTTGCGAAGGCGTCAACCAAGCTCTTCGTGGGCCTGGAGAGCGCGAGCGAGGGAGAGAGCGGGCGTGTGGGCTCCCGCTCCCGCTCCAGCAGCGAAAGGACTCGAGACGTGCCGAACAGCAGGTGCGTGGCGAAGGAGTCGCCGGAACTTTCGGCCATCAGCTGCGTTGGCACTGGGCTAGTAACTTCCATGCCGGGTTCTGTCCGCGCACGCAGCCGCAGCATACCTCAAAAAGCCCATGGAGAAACGTGCACCACATCACGTCCTCCCGATAACAGGCATCAGAGTTCCCGGTCGAGACCGAGACCGAGACCGTCGTCGCGTGCCGCAGACTTCGAAGCGATCGCCCGCAGGCCCGGAACGCGATCTGCCGCGGAGTCTCCGCCTGCTCGCCGAAGCACCATCAAATCGAGCCCTTTCTCCCCGCTTCCAGCGCGCCGAACGCCGTCGTGATAGGCCGGAGCAAAGGGGATCGGCCAAGCACACTGGTGATATCTGCCGTTGCGGCCGCGAACTCGTCGCTGAAGTGGCACCGCTGCAGGAAGGATGCGAAGTGATCCAGATACAAACTGCCGTCTGGCGTCGGTACTTGGGGAGGCACGGTGGGATTGGCCGCGTTCGAAGTATAGATGAACCCTACTGGGGCTTGCTTGAGCTGTTGTTGTTGTTGTTGCTGCGGCTGTGGCACACAAGGTTTCTGCAGCCGGAGGCATCGATCGCAAGGATGGCCCCCCTCACACTGTTCCGACCCTCGCGCATAAGTTTGTCTCTATCTCGGGAGAAGAAAATAGGTTGCTCGAACCTTGACCCGTCGGTTCGCACATGGCTGGCAGCGCGTGGTGATTCGGCGTTTGTCCCGCGGTCCAACCGGGCGTCGGGTCATTTGGTTCAAGGGTCGTGTGCGTATCTTTTCGGCCATACTTTGAGGCTTGTTGGTCCAGGAGGAAACCTTTGAAGTGGCTGCCAAGTTCTATTTTGGGGTTGGCTGGCCCTTTATATGACTTACCCTATGCCTCAGGGCTGCCTGTGCCTGTTCCGAAGAGAGTGGGCTGCAGTGGGGCCGGGGCTGAGTAGTGCCAAGGCTCGTATGGCTCCTACATTCGTCCAACAATTCGGGCAATTTCGTGTTCAGAATATCTTCTTTCCCTTGTGTATACTATAAGTGTAGTAATATCAGATAGAGAATTCAACATGAAATGTTCTCAAATATGCCAGCCATCGTACAGGAAACACCGTACGCCTAGGGTATCAGATGTAGAATCCGACACCCGGTAGAACAGTGAATCAGACCACCTGCCGTCCTCAATCATTCATGATACCGCGACACAAGTGATTTAGACCCGACCTCAATGTTGAAGTACTCGGTGACAACCCTGGTCCGCAATACCGGCGAAAAATAGTCCTGTCCGACCATGACGTTGCAGTGGTTCACGTAAACCGTCACAGGGATAAGCCCCTGGTACATGATATCCCACTGATCCGGTCCAGATCCGTTAGCTTTTCTGCTCTGCTCTGCGTTTATGTTTATGTGTGTAGATCAGAGAACAGCCACTTACAGCTGCCACCAAGTCCGCGTTGAACCGCCGCCGGACCAGACCGCCAAACGCCGCACCGTAGGTAATGAGGATATCCTCGGGGAATAGGGGGAAGTTCGAGTTGACGAATCCCTGCCACACCGTGGGCGTGCTGGATTGGGAATCATAGGTGGTCAAGATGTTGTCCACCAGACCGTCGTCGGTGGTGTTGGCGTAGTTGAACAGGGACGAGGCCAGGCCACCATCGTACGCTTCGTCGGCTCGGACGAAGTTCTGGGATGGCGAGTTCTTGATGAATCCGGTCGTGATGTGGGACAGGTTTTGGTTCCTGTTGCTTGTTCAGTGGGATAGTGGATAGAAGGCTGGCACCCATGAGTCTGTGTTTGTTCGCCGCTTACCACTTGTGTTGAAGGAAGTTGGTCTGGTACTCTGCCTGGATCCGGGGCGGGTTGGGCTGCTGGAATCCAGCTGAGAACTCAATCACCGAGGGGGGGAAGGGATGGCAGCTTGCTGCGCTGACGGGCCACGCGCTAGCGGCAAGTATCACCAGGAGTTGGAAGAATTGCATGATTTTTTTGTTTGTTGTTGAAGTGATAGTCACGGTAAGAGACTTGCGAGAAGACAAATGGAAATGGTAGTTATCCAGGAAGACTTGGGACGGGGACAGTCGACTGCTTTGTACTTCCATGGGATACTTGGGACATGCTTGCGAGGGCTTCGCGCGCCTCGGCAAATACAGGTAGGTGCGCTCAATAGATACTGTTCTGGGATAGCGAGCCAGGCAACCGCCAAGGTTCGATGGCATATGCTACAGTGCACTCGCCTCCTCAATCATAACCTGATCGACTATAGGCCATCAGTAGGTGCGTTCGATTATTGCCCGTGCGGGGAAGTTGCCGGCCACCCCGAGTCATACTTCAGTGGGGCTGCAACCTGTGTAAAACAAATCGCAATGGCGAGACTACCGCCAGGATGGACTAAATCAGGAGTCAGATCAAGTCTTCGAGCTTCCGGGTGTATGCTATGCTGAGATCTGCCAGACGACTTTCATAGGGTGCAGGTGCGGCTTTTGATGCATGGATTCGACATCAGTGAAGATGGCACTTAGCCCATTTGGGCATAAACGCGCTCGAATGTTGCTCGAATTGGCACAGTCCTCATACACTTCAGGTTCCAAAGTTAACCTGAATTGTCCTGGAGTCCCTGCCGTAGTACGTAGGTTTCCCTGGCCGTATGCGGGCGAAGTCTCTGCTCAGATCGTATCAGTATTACAAATACCTCCAAGGTTAGATATGTGCCTTACCTGTTTGGATTGCTGATAGCAAGCGAAAACTGACCCCAAAAACATGAATCAAGCGACCTCCAAATCGTACGTAATCTCTCTAGGATAAGACGCCTCATACAATGACAGCTTTCCATGAGTAGCATTTACCGAATGGCAGTGATAGACTTGGATGCACATTGCGACTGGTGTTCCTTGCGGTGATGTTTGTGGTCGGTTCTAGTCATGATTTTTTGCATCTGCACCGACCTTCTCATTATCTGATGAGTGTTTATGTTCTTTTTTGGATTTACTTCTCTAGTAACATGCATGAGTAGTTTTTTAGAATAGATTAAAGACAATATTACTTAAAAATTCTTCGAGTCTCATAAAAATACATATAATTACGGAACGATGTTGAACTTTGCCTTCGAAATATGTCATGGAGCACGGGCGGAGGCGTGTCGCCATTCGCCACTCGGGACCTTGCAAGGAGTCAGTCATCTCGACTTCAACCTTAATAACACTCTCGGGCAACTGACTGTGCGAGGCTGAGAAACCGTACGGAATGTTCGAAGTTCGGGGAAGTGGGGAAGCCGGGCAGGGCCCGACGGGGAGGTTGGCGGGTCGCCGATTGCACTTCCATCGCCGATTGACGTCAGGCCGTCCACCTCGCCGAGCATACTTAAACACCATCTTCAACTGCATGCATTGTGTAAACACATTCAAGGGAATAGTCGCCAATGATCATAAATATGAAGTTTCTACCATCTTTCAAACCTCGACTCACCAGTCGCATTCTGCACCAGCCAGCACGAAGGACGATCGTGAATCGAGTGCATCCATTGCCGTATACCTCCTTCGCCTCAGCCAATCCAAGCAGCATACCACCCTGCAGCAAACGCTTCACCTCCACAGTAACAGCTACAGCAGCAAGTCCTAAGCTCCCCCAGTCCCCAGCCTCTTCAATGCAAAAAGAACAACACCAGCCCGCCATGCCCCACACAACCCTGGCCAGCACCTCCCCCTCCACCCCAACCATCCACGCCCTCTTCGAGCCCCAGACCAGCACCTGGCAATACCTCGTCGTCGACCCCACCACCTCCACCGCCGCCATCATCGACCCGGTCTTGGACTACGACCCCACCACCCAGACCATCAGCACCACCACCGCCGATGCGTTGCTCGCCTTCATCGCGCAGAAGGGCTACACCATCTCGCACATCCTGGAAACGCACATCCACGCCGACCACCTCACCGCCGCCGCCTACCTGCAGTCCCGGCTACTCAAATCGCAAGCCACCTCCTCAGCTGCACAGACCAAGATCCCCATCTGCGCCGGCCACCGCATCCAACACGTCCAGACCCTCTTCGCGCAGCGCTACAGCATCCCGGAGGAAGAATACCGCCGCACCGCATTCGACAAACTCTTCCAGGACGACGAGCACTTCACCATCGGGACCCTGGACGCCGTCGCGCTGCATCTGCCGGGCCATACCCCGGACCATTTGGGGTATATGGTTGGTGGTATGTCCGTTTCCTTTCCCTAGTTTACTTTATCACAACTTTGTTATCAAATTGCAGCACCAGACGCTAAGAGCAATGGCAGACAACATCTTCGCCGGCGACTCCCTCTTCAACCCGGACATCGGGACCGCGCGGTGCGACTTCCCCGGCGGGTCGGCGGAGAGTCTGTGGGCCTCCGGGCGGCGCGTGCTGGGGATGGCGCCAGAGACGAAAGTCTGGGCGGGACATGACTATCCGCCGGCGGGGCGGGCGGGGGTGGTGGTGCCGTTTGCGACGGTGGAGGAGCATCGACGGATGAACCAACATTTGAAAGACGGGGTGGGGAGGGAGGAGTTTCTGCGGGTGCGGCGGGAGCGGGATGCGGGGCTGGGGGAGCCCCGGCTGCTGCACGCTGCGTTGCAGGTGAATGTGCGCGGGGGGAGGTTGCCTGCGCCGGTGCAAGGCTCATCAGGGCTGAGGTTGTTGAGGGTCCCGGTGCGGGGGGTGGGGGTGGGTGAGTGGTAGGGCATCAGCATCGCATCGCATAGTATAGCATTGCATAGCATTCTGATGATTAAGTGTGTGTATATTGCACAGATTCAATTTCTATTTTTTTTTTGGTTTCGGGTTACTCAGTATATTATCCAACTAACTGAACCCAACCTTAAGAAATCTACCCCAACCCCCACCCCTTCATATCCCCCTCCCTCGCCTCCACCACCCGCGCCGCCCTCTTCAACCACCGCAAATCACACACCCTGCGCGCCTCCGCCAGAAACGCCTCCTCGTAGTCCTCCCTGCCGACCCCGGCCCGCCGCGCCGCCCGACACCCCTGCACGTACACGTCGGCCACGTACAGCGCCCGCAGCGCCTCGAGGGTGTACGCGTCGCGCGCCATCAGATCCTCGATCCCGTCGCGCGGGTCCGCGCCGCCTACCAGCGTCTCCACGGACCCCGGCAGGTGGTCGTAGAACCGGCCCAGGCGCGGCTTGTGGATCATCGGCACGCGCGCCCAGTACGCGGCGCAGTCCTCGCACGCCCGCGCCCAGCGGTCCGTGTCCATGCCGGTCGGGTTCGTGGTGAGGTCGTGCAGGTCCGCGAGGAAGACGGGGTAGCTGGGGGAGCCCATCGCGGTGCGGGTGCAGGTGAGGTGGTGGTGGAAGGTGGCGAGGTGGTGGAGGGCGCCGGTGGTGATCGGGCCGAGGGGGTAGAGGGGGAGGAAGGGCGGG